CCCTGGAAAATATCCGCACCAAAGCCTCCGCCACCCTTTCGGTTTCAATCGAAGGTAAGGGTACGACTTCGGGGTACCTAGTTGCAAAGTCGACCACGACTAGGGCGTAACGATTTCCGCTCGCTGTCACCGGCTTGATTGGGCCAATCAGGTCCACGCCGACCCGATCAAATGGGGTCGCGATGATAGGCATTTTTTGGAGTGGTGCTTTTGGGACCCTTCCCTTGTACACCGTTCGCTGGCAGGTATCGCACGACCTGCAGAACCTTGCCACCTCTTGTCCGATGCCCGGCCACCAGAACGCTGACCGTACCCGGTCCAATGTCTTGCCACCCCCAAGGTGTCCGGAGAACAGCGAGTCGTGGCCTAACCCCATCACCTCTGCCCGGTAAGTGGTAGCAGTGTAACGGCCGAGGAGTTCAGGCAACTCCAAGTCAAGGATGGGTCGTTGAGGGCCTATTGGGAGACGGCGGAGAAAGCCGGAGAAGGAGAAGGCACCGACGGGTGCAGGTTCAAGGTGGATCAGGGTATGCTGTGCCGCTACACTCCCGGTAGCTCTGGGATTGAACACACGTGGGCGGATGCGGGTCACCAGCTAGTCGTCCCCAAGAGTTTACGGGGAGACCTTCAGCCCGGTCAGGGGCTTGCCGCGTGCCTTTTGTTGGGCCCTCGTGAGCACTGCGAGGGTCTCCACCCGTGCTCCNTATATATATATATATATATATATATATATATACTCTGTATGTATGTATATACTCTATATATGTTTTCTATATAATTATGTATTCTGTTTCTATATATGTATTCTGTATATATGTATTTTGTATATAATATGTATTCTATATATATTCTGTATATATATTCTGTATATAACACTATATACACTGTATATATAAACACGCTGTGAGATCCGAACACTCTATATCCGATAAGCGATCCGGTATTACACGGGGTTCGACCGGTGCACACGCGCACACACATACGTACACGCACGCACCCACGCACACATACGCAAGCACGCACACATACACGCGCGCGCACACATATACGCTCACGCACACATACGCATAGGCACGTACGTAAGGTCGCACGCACGCACACGCAAGCACA